GGACTGGGCAGGGGAGATGCCCAGGAGGTGGGGAAGGACACTGCCCCAGGGGGCAGGGCTGGGAGAGCCCAGGAGGTGGGGGAGGGCGCTGCCCAGGGCTGCCGGGAACCTGGAAGCCGTTGAGATCGGTGAAGAAGGTGTCCTCGCTGGCGATGCTGGTGCTGAGGCGCAGGGCCATCTCCTTGTTGACGTGGTCGCGGATATCCACCAGGCAGGACACATCCAGGGACAGGCCCTCCACCCCTGCAAAGCAGACGGCTGAGATCACCTCGCCCGCCCCTGCCAGCTGGAATGCCAGGGACCCCAGCGCTCTGCAGGTCAACCAGAGCCCCTGCCCAGCGCCCCCAGCTCCTGCGGCACAGCACAGCCCACCCTGCGCGCCCCTCACCTGGCACGTTGTAGAGCCGCACCACCTGCTGCACATGCTGGTAGTAGCTGGCCACCTCCGAGAAGAAGGGTCCCTCGGTCACCCGCACCACGGGCGGCTCCTTGGGGGCGTAGGGCTGTCAAGGGAATAAGGACAGCCTGACACCATGCAGCAGGCACGAGGGAGGGCAGGTGTAATAGCCTGGAACCCTCTGCCCCATCCCCTAGGTCCCACCAGCCCTCCCAAGGCCCCCTCCACAGGCCTCAGTGCCCAGCTGCTCCTAGGTCTCTGGGCCCCTCCTTGTGCCCTGTACCTTGGCGTCGCCGTCTGGCAGGAAGAGGTAGGCCCCACTCTTGTCCTTGGCGCTCCTGGTGCCATAGATGAGGAACTCGGTGCTCAGCCTGTGCTCCTCCCCAGCCCGCCGGACGCTCTGCAAGGAAGCAGGCAGTGAGCGCGTGGGCACCAGACACGCTATGCTGCCCCCCACCCGCCCCCCTGCTCACCTGCAGCAGGCCGGTGAGGCCCGAGAAACAGGCCTGCATGTGCTGGTTGTCCAGGCAGAAGTCGTCGGAGGTGGCGGGGACGACGCGCACGGGGAAGACCTCGTGCGGGCGCACGGGCAGCTCACGCCCGTGCAGGTGGAGGCGCACAGACGACATCAGCGTGGTGTGGCTGTCGAACGACTTGTACAACTGCAGGACGCTGAGGCCCAGTGCTGGCAGCCGGGTCATGATGGACACCTGCCAATCAGAGGGGAGATGTGAGTGGGACCCCTGCCCCCAAGCCCTGCCCAGGCTCAGCCCTGAGCCATGGAAACAGCCCTCAGCTGGGGGAGCGGGTATGACGAAGTGGGAATGTTCGTAATGTTCTGTCTGATGCTGTGTGTATGTGTGGCTCAATCCCCCCACATGTCCCTGAAATGCCTAGGTGGTGGGACAGGGTGTGTGATCCTTGCAGACTACCTGGGCACAGACAATGCCTGACACTCTGTGGCCCTGCCAGAGCCCATCCTCGGCAAGAATCAGCCAGAGGTGTGGGAGAACAAAGCGAGAGGCGGAGACCAGGTGACCTGTTTGCCCCAGAAAGAGACAAAGGCCAGAGGAGGGGCTAGCCTGGGCTGCTGGAAGCTGGGAGACTGAAGAGGGGAGAGCCCAGGGTTCTGGGCTTGGGATCCCCCCACCCCATGATGGACTTTGCTGAATGTTCCTAATTTCTGTGCTAACAGGATCTGTTCTAAGCTGTGTTCCCCACGACTAATAAACCTTCTGTTTTCTGTGCTGGCTGAGAGTCACTGCTGAGTGCGGAGTTGGGGTGCAGGGCCCCTTTGGGGCCATGTAAGGGTTCCCCAGGTGGACTCACTGTGGGGAGCTCACAGCATGAAGCAGGTGCTGAATGCTCTGAGGTCAGACCCAGGAGGCGCTGAAGCCAAGGAGGTTTGCCCTAGTGACTGTGTGCCCTGAGGGGAGACACACGGCACTGGAGTCCGGTCTGATTTCATCCAGAGCAGCGGGCCCAGGGCACAGCCAGGGAGAGCTCAGCATCCGCACCGGGCGTGGAGGGGACCCTGCCCAAGCCAGGGTGGGCAGGGCTGTGTGTGCCAGGGGGTGGAGGAGAGGCCTGTGGGGCTGCTGAGGGGGGCTATGGGGAGTGGATGAGGGAGCTGGGGGTATACAGAGTGAGGTGTGCACGCTGGGGGGTGGGGACTGCTGCCAAGGGCGCTGTGTGCCTGGTAGGTTTTGCCCGGCTCAGGGTGTCCCCAATGAGGTGGGGTGAGGCCACAGCCCCCTCCCGTACCTGGTAGACATTGGGCACCATATCCGTGGCTGAGCTCCACTGGGCGCTGAGCTGGACGGCCAGGGGCTGCCCCTCCTCGGAGAGCACACGGACACGCGGGGAGCTCACCAGCAGTGAGACGACACTGAGCCGCTCCTGCTCCAGCGGGTTAAACAGCACCACGAACCTGCATGGGGACAGCGCTCAGCCACATGATGTCCCTGATCCCCGACAGCCCCCAGCCCCCCACAGCCCCCAGCCCGTGATCCCCGACAGCCCCCAGCGGCCCCCAGCCCCTGATCCCCGACAGCCCACAGCCCCCCACGGACCCTAGCCCCTGATCCCCGACAGCCCCCAGCCCCCCACAGACCCCAGCCCATGATCCCCAACAGCCCACAGCCCCCCACAGCCCCCCACGGACCCCAGCCCATGATCCCCCACAGCCCTCCACAGCTCCCAGCCCCTGGTCCCCGACAGCCCCCAGCCCCCCCACGGACCCCAGCCCATGATCCCCCACCCCCCCCAGCCCCCCCCGGCCCCCAGCCCCTGATCCCCGACCGCCCCAGCCCCCAACGGCCCCCAGCCCCTGATCCCCGACAGCCCCAGCCCCCAACGGACCCCAGCCCCTGATGGCGCCCAGCCCCCGATCGCCCCAGCACCAGGTAGTGCGCGGCGTTGCTGATGACGCGTTGTGTCCTATCCCCGATGGCCCCTGTGATGTTATTGACATGAACTGCGACCATATAGATCATTGTTGCAACCGAGGTCCTGTAGTGGCACCAAATCTTGTATAAAGGGGGTCAAATGAGGTGTCTAAGACAAGGTTATGGTTTGCTGGTTATGATTATGTTGTCTATATGTGTGTATCATTTTGTAGTTGAAGTTATGAATATTGGCTCTGTACTTGTATCTCAATGTGAAGCATTTGGTCAGCTTCTTGAGAAAGGAATTTGCAGATTAAGTGCCCAGTCAAGAAACACTTAACTGACAAAGGACTTTGGGAGACGCCAATCCACATCTGAGCTTTCCTGGGAAAGTTCAAACTAACATGTAAACAATGGCGTTGGCCTGCAAACTGAGTCATGCATGAACATCAAAGAATCCTGTGGCACCTTATAGACTAACAGACACTTTTGTGGGTGAATACCCACTTCGTCAAGCTTATGCTCCAATACATCTGTTAGTCTATAAGGTGCCACAGGACCCTCTGTTGCTTTTTACAGATCCATACTAACACGGCTACCCCTCTGATATTTGATGCATGAACATGTGACTTGCCCGTGTGACTCCGAACTCCATCTTGCTGCTGTGATGTTCCAGAGTAAGAACAAAGGGGTGTCCTTCCACAGGACAGAGAATATAAAAGGCCCTGGAAACACCTCCATTTTGTCTTCAATCCTGCTTCTGACCTCTGGAGGAACTTGCTACAAACTGAAGCTCTGAACAAAGGACTGAATGACCCATCCCAGCTGGGGATGTTCCAGAGACTTGATTTGAACCTGCAGTTTATTCTATCACTGCTACAAGCCTGAACCAAGAACTTTGCCATCACTGTATGGAATTGATTCGTTTAACCAATTCTAGCTCTCATCTATATTTTTTCCTTTTATGAATCAACCTTTAGATTTTAGATTCTAAAGGATTGGCAACCGTGTGATTTGTGGGTAAGATCTGATTTGTCTATTGACCTGGGTCTGGGGCTTGGTCCTTTGGGATCGCGAGAACCTTTTTTTCTTTTAACTGGGGTATTGGTTTTCATAACCATTTGTCCCCATAACGAGTGGCACTGGTGGTGACATGGGAAACTGGAGTGTCTAAGGGAATTGCTTGTGTGACTCGTGGTTCGCCAGTGGGGTGAGACCGAAATCCTCTCTGTCTGGCTGGTTCGGTGCCTTAATGGTAAAGGAACTCCAGCCTTGGCCTGTGACTGCCCTGCTCTGAGCAATTTGTCTTGAACTGATACTCTCGGAAGTGCTCCACCAAAGAAGCTGCATTATTACAGCCCCCAGCCCCCAACGGCCCCCAGCCCCTGATGGTCCTCAAACTCCGCTGGCCCCCGACAGACTCTGACCTGATGGCCCCCCCAACCTTTGGCCCCTGACAGCCCCCCACCCCCGATGGCCCCTCCAGCCCCTAGCACTCAACAACCCTCTGACAGCCTCCAGCCCCCAAAGGACCCCAACAGTGGCAGGCTAGAGTGAATAGAGCGCTCAGCCACAGGGGCAGGCCTGGCCGCAAGCGGCCCCCAGGTCCCCCTGGACAGAGTGAACACAGGGAGGGACCCGTCCCTCCAGCCAGGCCCTGCCCCAGCCCGGAGCAGGGTGTGCACACCCTGGGCAGGGGCCGGGCAGCTCCTACCTGGGCGATGTGTCCAACTTGATGACGGTTTTCTCAGGCAGCGAGTCCTGGTTGAGGCGCATGTCGTCCTAGCAGAGAGGAGCTGAGTCAGCACTGTAATGCTCCCAGGAGAGCACCCCCAGCCCCCGCCAGCCCAAGGACCACTCTAGGCAGAAAGGCAGAGATAGGGAGTGGGGCAGGCCCCCACCGTGCAAAGGGGCAGCAGAGAGCCACTCCTGGGGAGCGCCCTGATGGTGGGGGTCGCCCCCCGAACGCAGGCAGGGGCAGAGCAGTAGAGCCGAGGGCTGGGGTTAGGGCTGGAGTCTGGATCAAAGCAGAGAGATTGGGGTCAAGGATGTGACTGGGGCTGAAGTCAGGGCAGCGGGGCCGGACCGGGGTCAGGGCAGTGGGGCCGGACCGGGGTCAGGGCAGGGGGGCTGGACCCGGGTCAGGACAGTGGGGCCAGGGCCGGACCGGGGTCAGGGCAGCGGGGCTGGGCCGGGGTCAGGGCAGGGGGGCTGGGCCGGGGTCAGGGCAGTGAGGCCAAGGTCAGGGCCAGGGTCAGGAGTGGGCTCACCGTGCCAAGGAAGGGCCCTGCGGGGTCGTAGCGATAGGCCTCCTTGTCACCCAGCACCAGGTAGTGCGCAGCATTGCTGATGACGCGTTTCAGGTTCACCAGGGAGTGGAGCAGCCTGGGCAGCCGGGCCGGAGCCGTGAGGGAAAGGCAGAGAGAGAATCAGTGTCACCGCTCCCCCGCGGCCTCTCCCCCACAGGGATCCCCCGGTAGGGTTCACCCACCCGGCTCCCCCAGCCATTCCCGAGGCTCAGAGCCGTACCTCACACCGTAATCCACCACGACGGCCTCTTTGGCGGTGCCCGTGATGGCGTCGTGGTGCTGGAAGAGCCCCAGGGCACGCCGGGCCTCGGTCAGCAGGGCGTAATCCGAGAGCGGGTATCTGCTGTCCATGCCAGCGTGCCGGGCGTGACTCAGCGCCAGGCTGTACAGGATCTCTGCGCCCCTGGGCCGGACACAGACCCATGAGCCACAGCTCCTCCCCACGCACACCCCTACCCCCTGCGCCCGAACCCCCTCGCTCTGCGCCCGAACCCCCCCTCACCCTGTGCCCAAATCCCCCCTCACTCCACCTCCACAACCCCCCTTGCCCTGCCCCTGCATCCCTCTCACCCCGCCCCCGAATCCCCTCGCCCTGCCCCCAAATATCCCCTCGCCCTGCCCCCGCATCCCTCTCACCCCATCCCTGAATCCCCTCGCCCTGCCCCCAAATATCCCCTCGCCCCGCCCCCCCATCCACCCTCGTCCTGCCCCCGAAACCCCTCGTCCTGCCCCCGAATATCCCCGCGCCCTGAATCTCCCCTCGCCCTGTCCCCGAATCCCACCTCGCCCTGTGCCCAAATTCCCCCTCGCCCTGCCCCCGAATCCTGGCCCCCTGAATCCGCCTTGTGCCCTGAATCTCCCCTCCCCTGAAATCCCCCGGCTGTGTGCCCTGAGTCCCGGCCCACCAAGCCCCTGCCCCCATCTGCCCCACCCCCAAACCTATCACTGACTGCACTCAGCTCCTTCCAGCCCAGCCCCCTGCCCTAGCCCCAGCCCCGCACTCCCGCCCGTTCCCAGCCCCAGCCCCACACCCTCACCGGAGATGGGCCTCCAGCACGCGGTCCAGGCTCTTGTAGAAGGGCCGGGAGGTGTAGTAGCCTGTCCAGTAGTGGTCCTCCCGGTCCGCGTAGGAGAAGAAGTCCCCGCTCAGCACGGGGAAGCCGGGCGGCTTCATCCCAGGGACGATCCCGGTCCTCTTGGAGAGAGCGTCAAAGTAATCGGAGAGGGTCCCGAACTGCGCCTGCAGGGAGAGTGTGGCCCCGTGCCGCCCATGAGCCAGGTGGGCCCCCGGCGCCAAGGAGAGGGTGGGTGGAACCCCCCCACTCCGGGACGGCCAGGAGCTGGGAATGGGCGACAAGGGATGGATCACTCGATAACTGCCCTGTTCTGTTCATTCCCCTGAAGCACCTGGCATCGGCCACTGTCAGCAGACAGGTCACGGGGCTGGATGGATACGGGGCCGTTCTTATGACTGCAGCCAGCCGAGGCCCCAGGACAGTAACAAACCAACAAAGCACCTGGAAAGCAGGTACACTGGCAAGGCCGGAGTTCTGCCAGCTATACTGTGTGTGGGGGTCCCCCATGTCCCCCCCATCCCACAGGGGGTGGGCGGGGCTCAGCATACACCTCCTGGAATCCCACAGGCGTGGGCGGGGCTTGTAATAAATCATAGACTCATAGAAGATCAGGGTTGGAAGGGACCTCAGGAGTTCATCGAGTCCCACCCGCTGCTCAAAGCAGGACCAACCCCAAACTGCGCCTACAAACAGACTCACTTGTGAGACTAGCTGTGGGAAGTGGCTAGAGGCTGCTCCGGGGTCCCCGTAACCTGCAGTCACGCTGTGCTGGGGAGGAGGGAGCCGGCCGGCAGCCAGCCTGCGCTAGTGCAACCCAACCGGCCTCCCGCCAGAAGCCCAGGCCTAGTCAGCAGGAGACGCAGGGAACCAGAGCCAGGGTGTGGCAATGAGGCCCCGCCAGTGGACAAGAGGGGAGGCCGGGCCTTGCACCCCCACCCCTTGGTCCCAGAGAAGAGGGAGGACTGGCTACCGGAGGGAACTGCTGATTGAAAGGAGGGGCAGGGCGAGCTTCACCGTCCGGCCCCTAAGACGTGCTGTGCCGTCATTTGGCTTCCATCACCCTGAGCCTGGGAGATGTCCTGACCGGGCCAGGCCAAGACAAGGCCACGCCCACCAGCTCCAGCTCCATGCCAACCACTGCCTGGCATGGCAGACTTTGTCACCCCTCCCGTG